TGGTCCGACTCTCTCACACACACATACTCACCTCTTCCATACGAGGGTCTGCGTTTTGATGAGAGTAATACTCAAGTCTAATGCTCCCCGGATAGGAAATCTGAGGACTGATGTGTCAGAATCAACAATAACCTATTCTATAGCGTTACTCAGGAGTAACCATGAGTTCAGTTGAAAATTGTGATAGAGTTGTTCCGATAAGATTTTCCGAGCTGTACCAATTGAGGTGCACTCTTCACATTCATACCATCTGTGGTCAGGTGAGGGTGAAATCTAGTTCACTCTTCAATGTGGTGGACAACGCATCCTGTTCAAAACCTCGTCAACTCCATCCTTTTTAAAACAATTTCTCACCAACCCAACCACCCAGAATGATGTAACAACCGTTACAGACTGCTCCATTCTATATAAAGCTTATCTCCGGGTTTTTTGGACTGCTATCAACTCCACCCCTGAGCGATCCCACCCAGTAATATGTACTTCAGAATTGGCCGCACAANCACAAGTAATATGATTCAGTCCCACCTCAGATGGGTTAGGTGATGTCCACTGAGCAATATTCACGTCCAACCGAACAAGTTCGTGTATTCATGGACCGGCTATGTGACGAATCAGACGAAAAATAGGCCTGTCCAAGTTTTGCATGCTGGGACGAAGAAGAAACGCTGACAAACAAAGATCGAAGAAACAACAGTATGTGCAAGATCAGCGGGAAAATTCATCGATCACTCCAGTTTATTTGTCACTTTGTGGTCTATGCGATATCGACAGAGATCGAAGAAAGATCTCTGAACACTATGTATAGTCGATGTGTATATGATCCCTGAACATCAGTACCCGGTTTCATGCACACGTTTTCTCTGAGGTAGCGTTTTGCCCAGTTTCAATTTGTTCTTTGTTACTTGAATTTCGCTCCAACCACTACCACCACCAAGTTGAATGATTGTAGCCGAGGACCAAATCCAGAACTTGAGCATTCCTGTGAAAACGAGTTAAATCGCTTAACCCTCATCACTCACGATGATGAATTCTTTGGGTACGGTTTAGTAGAGTTAATTTTCTCCCAAATGAAAAGATTTACAATCTTGGTATAATTTTAGTTCTCTTTTTTCCAATCCATTTTTAGCTCATTTGCGAGAGCCTGGATCTGGCCTCAATTCCATCGATCAAGAATTTCGCAGAACGACTCTCACAACGCGAACCGGTGATCCACATGCTGATCAATAATGCCGGTGTAATGATTGCCGATTTCGAATTGACCGAGTACGGGTTCGAGAAAAATATGGGCGTGAATCATTTGGGACACTTTTTGCTCACTCATTTGCTCATTCCGCGACTATGTGCTGCCAGCGGGGCCAAAGTGATCAATGTGTCCTCGGACAGTCATTATTTCTCTCGAATCAATATTCGTGATTTGAACAAACCGATGCATGGCTCGTACTACGCGCACAGTAAACTGGCCATGGTGATTCACGCTCGTGAACTGTCACGTCGTTATGCGAATCAGGGCCTGACTGCGGTCAGTCTTCATCCGGGTTTGGTCGGCACGGAATTATTCCGACAATCGAACATATATAATGCAAGTTGACCAGTTTCCCCTCTCCATTCTTACTCTGAGTAATGTTGTAAATAATGATATTAGTATTATTTAGCCATAGTATACACAAACCGCATCTAGGTGGAAATAACAGCAGTGCTCTTTAGTTTGGAAGAATAACATTGCAGAACCAGAATCATTTATTGGTTAACCGGGCGGTAAAGACGTTTCAGTTATTACTTACTTACCTTTATGTAGCTGGCTCCTTGGAAAGGATAAACCGGCTCCATGAATGATCATGATCATGAAGTTCCTTGGGATTTTGGTATGAGCGTCACTCG